TAATAATAATACAGGAACCGGTAAAACGGCTAAATTTCTGCTCGTGAGCAGCCACAGTTTCTGTTGTAGAGTTTTCTTAATTTTCCCCGAGTTGATCTTTCTTCGATAAAGGTAGGAGAAATTTATAGATCAAATTAGCCTAAATCAGTGTGGTATTAAAATAGCTTGTAATCCGTTTCAGGTTTTTACATTGGCAGAGATGTCGAGTATATGACGTTTCATGAGGGAGATCTAGTGGATTATGATGGGAGAAACCAATTGATGGGAACGGAAATGCACTGTTTGTATGGACGAATGCCAATGATAAGAAAGAGCCGTTTACTGGTGACTATGTACTTCGTTGCTCGATGCGCAAGAAGTGGTCTACTTTTCCTAAATGGATTGATGCCCTTCCGGAAAAAATGGGTTGCACTCACCAACTGTAACTCATATGTGTGTGTTTTATCATTGGAATTTTAACCTGACATTCGTACTGACTGGCGTAAGTGCAAGATTTTCGGTTTAAAGGCATGCATACCATCGGGATATTTATTCGTCTGTCCTTGTAAAATAATCAGCAAAGCCTGGTGAACCCGTTGTTATTATTGAAGTGAACTAGTTTCTAGTTTTTAAACAAACGTAAGTTTGACGAAGCAATGGACTCGGGGCTGGGTTTTCTAGATGTACGGTACTGTCGGTAAGCGATATCATGGAATGTTAGTCGAAATTCTGAAATCCGTTTTATATTAGGAAGGATTACTGAAGGATACTCCAATATTGATTACCCCCCCCCCCAGGCAAGCCCGTGATATTTAAGACACGTCCTTTTCGCCCCTGCAAAACCGCCCTGAGAAAAAATGATAACTTAAGTAGCACGCATGCCTTTTATCGATCTTTGGTGCCCTTGTAAAGTCAAATATACTTTATAGAGAGTCTTTATAAAAATATTATTTTTTATGCTCATTTGGTAACAAATCGTATCTTCAAAATGTATGCTCGAAGGAGGGGCATCGTTCATTTTTAAAGAAACGTTTATCAATCCCTTAATACTTTTGAACTGAATCCGCGTTACATTTTCGTTTAGGATTTACAGTCAACGAACCGCAAACCTTCAGTATAAAAAAAACCATACATCCCTATATGCTATTTACAAAATGCCATACGGGGTTCATAGAATGTTGCAACGGATCTGGACTAAATTGTATGTTTACTGAGGAGCATTACTAAACAGACAAATATGATGTTCTTGGAATGGACATTGCACGGTCTTAAAAGATCTCATATTTAGGAACATTCTTAAAATCGAAGGCTGCCCTTCGAGTATATGATCTGAATGCATGATTTGCTACTAAATGAGTACAAGAAATAATACCTTTGTGCATGTCTCTTTACAAAATCTTTTTTGTAACGTCGAATATCCGTATAGAAAATGCGTACTAATTGTGTAGTCATTTTCTACCGAGTGAGATTTTTGCAGACAGCCGGAAAGAAGTGCATTCAAAAGCCAGACTCGTAGCGTGCCTGAAGTATGACGGAATTATGCCACAAGATAATCAGCATTACAACCCCATCTACGCTATCCCTTCTAACCGGAAACGCATTTCGGAATTCCGGCTAGCATTTGGCGAGATCGGTCACCGACTGTACAAACATAAGAGACCCTTTTTCTGCATTAACCCGATATATCCCCAGAAGTATTACGTCATATTGTCCAGCATCGTACATAGGTCGGACAACTCGATCGAGAATGGACTCTCGGCATTAGATGCTGGAATGTGCGGACGTTTCTGGACTCTGGTATCCAAATTTTGACGGCGCGCAATCTTTTCCAGTGCAGTATGGGTGTCTGCTACCTGTCAAAAGGCCGAATCGCTGACTCAAACATTCAGGTCA